GCTCTTGCGCTAGAACTCTGAATCTATTATTCAACATTCTCCCTATACCAATATTATAAAGCTGTCTTCATTCTGCCTGATGTCAGAGACAGTTATGTCCAAGCTCTCCTCCCTGTGGGCCCAGGCAGTACTGTGGTCACCTCTGTACCCCACATAGAAGAAGCAGGTAATAAGTACTATTTAAATCTAATTATTCCCTAGGAATATTGCTATACATAATGGTCATGTTTTCAGTATTTAACTATGTAATAGTTCTATACTTCAGGTATATTATTGACTAAAGGGGCATTTGTGGATTGGTCTGGTGACCTAACCATCATTTAAAGTACTGTTTTTATAAATGTACTACAAGTTCCAAGAGAACAAACTTTTAAAGTCAACTTTTATGCTGCAAGCAAAGTGTAGGTTGTGAGTTGTCTATATAATGTGACTGAGCCTATGTGGCCTACTAGTAGCTGTGAGGAAAATAAAAATGTCATCTATCATGAGGATGTATCTAAATATTTGAATGTATGGCATTGTGCAGATAATATTTGGTCATTTTACCTTCTAAATTTAATCCAGGTGGCATTTTTTCATATAAAAAGCAGCAGTAGCTATTTATAAAGAACTTGGACTTCAAACATTAAATTTTTCTTGATGAAAATCTCAATAATTATTTGATTTATGCTTACATGATTTTATTATAGTTATTTGTCATTTAATAAAATAAATGCATTTTAGACAATATACTAGAAAGTAGTTCTATTAAGTGACTATTCCAATTGCCATGAATATATTGGGGATACATTTTACAGGGGAATAAATGGGGACATGGTAAAAGGAAATTCTATTTTAAAACTAATAATTTTCTTTTTACATATGAGCATATAATCCTACAAATAATAAATCTGAAAATGTTATAATACTATGTTTTATTCAAACTAAGTCACAGAATTTTTAAAGATTTTAAAATGAAAATACGGCAAATTAGCATTAGACACTGATTAGTCAGATCATTTGTCTCAGCCAACCGTTTCTTTTTTAAAAATATATTTTTATTGATTTCAGAGGTAGAGAGAGAGAGAGAGATCAATGATGAGAGAGAATCTTTGATCAGCTGCTTCCTGAATGCCCCCTACTGGGGATAGAGCTCGAAACCTGGGCATGTGCCCTGACCAGGAATCGAACCATGACCTCCTGGTTCATAGGTCAATGCTCATCCACTGAGCCATGTGGGGCAGGCTCAGCCATCCTTGCTCTGTGGTCACTGTAAAGGCAGTACTTACTAATATTTTAGCATTCTGATAAAAGTCCACTCATCTTTTAAAAATCAGTCTTTAATTAAACTACCTTATTTCTAAATAATGTTGAAAATTTGGGGTTTTTTCCATTTAAAATAAAGTTTCTACTTTTGATCTTTTCCAAGTATCCCCTGTAATAATAGGTAGAGCTCCAACTAAATCTACAAGCTGCACACGTCTTTTCTTATCCTGCCTGAGATCATACCTGTTAATACTTCTCAATATCAGAGTGGTGAAGTGGAGCCAGAATACCTGAATGTGAGTTCCATTTATTTCCTATGTGACTTTAGACAAGAAAAAAATCTTTGTACTTTAATTTTCATGCCTATATAATAAAGAGTATTAGTAACAGCTGCCTCATAGGGTGATTGTGAGAATTAAAATATTTAATATTTATAAATATTTAAAACATCTCCTGGCTCAAGTATTTGCTATTATAATAAAAATAAATTAATTCTGATTATATATAAATATGATAATTATTCAAATATAGCCCAGGCCAGTGTGTCTCAGTGGTTAGAGTGTGGGCCCACACACTGAAGAGTCATGGGTTCAATTCCCAGTCAAGGGCATGTACCTGGGTTGCAGGTTTGATTATATAACATAAATATTTATAATGTTTTAATTAAATTTAAAATTAATTATTTTAATTAGTTACCATTATTGTTTTCTAATCATTTCCCAATGCACAGACTGTGGTGAATTTTCATGATCCTCTTCATGAATCTGCCTTAATTAATTTACTAAGTATGAAATTGTTAAGTGTACTTCTGTATGCAAGAGATCCCAGATTTAACATTCTTCTCTTTATATATACTAATGAGTGATAAAGGAATCAATGAATGAGTGGATACATGACATTAAGTCAGACAGTATAGAGAGGTACAATTCAGCCTATAGGAACAGGCACTTTTCCCTTACAAATAATACAATAGGGTTTGGCTTACCCAGGCCAAGGAGCCCCTGGCCTCACACACTAGACCTTCTGCCTAACGACCTGGGCTTGCAGTGACAAGTTTGTGGTTATATATATTTAAGAAGCACAAGGAGGAAATAAGCAATGAACAAGAATGGGCTACAGATACCAAGATACTTGTAGTACCTGACTAAAAATCTGAAGACTGTGCTGCTCTGTGAAGTTGGTTTTATCATTTTGGGAGTAGCAAAGCTATAAACTCTTATAAAGTACTCTGAACTTAAGAAAAATTACATACAAAGCATTTGTACTCTCCACTCCTCTGAAGCCCTTGTGAAAATAATAGAGGCATCATGTCTGCAAAACCCACCTGACAAATAAAGCAAGTCTCAAACAGTATTTCATTCTGAAGTAAATAAATGTCTGAACCTTATATATTTACCATCAAATGTACATGAGAAGATGTCCTGTCAACTTAAAGGATGTTCCTTAGGAATCAGTCTCTAAGGGGTTGCAGATTTCAAGGAACTAATGATTCTTTACAATTTATCAAGAAAATAATGCATTAGGTCAAAACAAAACATCTTGTAAGTTTCCTACATTTTTACCAGTAATTTTGCCTATTTTCATAATATATATGCATGCAGACCAGTCCCTAGAATACCATTTCAAAACACCAGATATAAATTCAAGAAAACAATACATTTTTAATGTTCAACCAAGATTTTCCACAGATATGCAGGCAGTATGCAAAAAACCTGGACAGATATGCTTTTAAATGGCCAACAAATGTAACTGAACACATAACCTGTTATTTTGTTTTTGTAGCAATCTCATTTTCTTACCATATTGGAAATTAGAAGTCTGAATTCATATTCACAGATGCTCCAAGGTATCAACAAGGAAACTTTAAAAGCCAAACAGAAAGGTAATCATTTTCACTAACCCTGTCTGAATATTCAGTAAACATGCATGCTTGAAAAGGTGAACTGGGGGATTTGGAGAAACTTGAAATTGGAAATCGTTTCAACTGATGCCTGGTACGATACTATCTGGAAAAACAGGAGAAAAATAAAAGAGACACTAGCATTTTCAAAGTGGCAGGCAGTGGAGTTATTTTCTGGAGCTGGAGTGTGTGTGTGTGTGTGTGTGTGTGTGAGATCTGGGAACACCGACGTGGAGAGGGTAAGGTGAAGGTGAAAAGGAGGAAGAAGCAAAGACAACTGCCAAGCGAGCTACTCCTTTCTCCAGGAGTCTGAGTAGAGCCAGGAAAGGAAAAAGAGGACATTAGACAAGGTTCTATTGGTGATGAACAACTGGTCTGAACCTGACGGTCAGAGGGAGGGGGTCATAGTATCTACTTTGTGGAAGCACATTAACTCCTTTAGGTGAAGAGAATAATTTTCATTCAGTGGGGAAAAAAGTTACTTACGCATTGGACCCTCAAATTTTCAGAAAATCCATAGAACCTTACAAGTAAGCACATCATATGGGCCCTACATCAAAAACCACCACCTCTAGCAGCAATTAAATACATATACTCATTTATATTATGCCAAATTACTGAACTGTTTAAGTTTGGGTTAATTTAAGAACCAAGAACTCACTAGTCTAGATGTCTATAGATCTTATTCACATATTACAAGCTTTGGACAACTTTATATTTGTTGACTCACATACACACATACACATACACACACCCCTCTAAAGAGTGAAATATATAAAGTAAAACTTTATTTTATACAGTAGAATTTTTTAAATATTACCCTCTTTTTCAAAATCTTTCCTCTAAGTTACTCAGTACTGACAAGTTAGACTTTAGATCCTTGACTGGAATTTACCTTTCTCTTGTCCTATGAAATGCAATACCTCCATTGATGTTTATTGTCCCACACAATACTACATGTTTAAAAACAACTAATTCTTGCTTTTCCTTTGAGCTGAGCTTGAAAAATCATATGCCCAACAAAATCTAAAAACCAATCACTGCAAAAACAGAAATGTGAAATGCTACTTAAGAATTGACATTATTGCATAACTTGATTAGAAGGAATGTTGAACCTGCGTGATATTAACCCAGTGTACATCTCTGCACCCTACATTTTCCAGTGTAATCTTGTATCTATTACTGTATCACTTGTGCAGCCATAAAGGATGCATACTGCACACAGACAAGTTTTATGAATGAATACACAAAAACGCTCATAATTCGAGAAAATGGATGGCAGGATATTGTTTGGAAAATGGTCATTAAGCACTGGAAGCAAATGATGAGGCAAATGGTTGGTGTCTTTGGTTCCATTCAGGGCAACTGTATTCCCCAACCCCCAGCCCAGGGTGTTGGAAACAGCCTTGGGGCTCTTCCCCTAGAGACTTAGAGACTCCTTCTCCCTCCCAGGAACCTGCTACAGAACGAAGACCTCGCAGCGCCTGGAGAATAACATGCACGCACTGCTTCTGTGTGCTGAGGGCTGTTGATAAATCAGAGACATCACTCTCCCTAAATCCGGCCCCACAAGTGTGTGCATGTGAGTGTGGCATTTACCAACAAATGAACAGAAGGCAGCAGAGCTCATCTCCTAGAAATAACATTTCCTACCCCTTCCCAGGCAGGCTGCTTGGAGGCTTTTCGGGGGGCTAAGACTTGAGCGCCTTCCCCTCAGCTTTGTGTGTAAGTCCGCTGGGCGCCATATGGCAATTTCCAATTCCTTTCGTCTGGCGAGGCTGCCCACGATGGTTCTTTATTAAAGGAAGAACCCTTCGGGGAGCAGCAATCCCCCTACCCACCCACCCCAACTTACCCAGCTCCCGGAGACCTGTTCAGCCGGCACCACAAAGGGCTGTGGGATTCCCCGTTCCCTCGGGGGCTCCTCTCCCGGCGACGATCCCCTTCGCCAATGATGTGTCGCTGGAAATCCCCCTCCCCTCCACCGAGAGGAGGGTCTCCCCGGCTGGCTGGCTGGAGCTCCCGGCGTGGCGTCTTCCCTCCTCTCCTTACATCCCTGACTCTGGTTCACGGTCTCCACTAGGAAGGCTCTAAGGAGAGACGGCGGGAGGAAGCTAAGGAATCCTTAAAAAGAAGAATAATCTTCATCGATCTTCACCCACTTCCCCACGCGGGTCCCCATCCCCCTGCAGCCGCCGCCGCCCGGCAGGAGAGCTGGGATCGCACGGGAAAAATCGAGCGGCGCTGAGCTCGTCGAGCCACCCGG